CCAGCTGTGAGCCCAGCTTCTGGTTGAGCAGTGCTCCCCCTCTGGGAGTGCACTGACCACCAGGGGGCAGCTCCTGCATTGAGCATCTGCCCCCTGGTGGTCAGTGCATGTCATAGCAACTGGTTGTTCCTCAGTTTGGTTGATTTGCATATTAGCCTTTATTATATAGGATTATTATATAGGACTAGAGGCCTGTTGCACGAAAAGATTCGTCCAATAGGCTTTCCCTTCCCCTGGCTGCCGGCACCGGTTTTCCACCGGCACCGGTTTTCCTCCGGCACCCGGGACCCAGGCCTTTGCTCCAGCCGGAGCCACCTTCAAGCCTTCGCTGCCCCGCCCGGCCGCCCCTGGTCGGGTCGCACACGGGACGCCCTGGTGGGCCAGCCTATTGCTGCTGCCCCGCCCGGCCGCCCCGGGTCGGGTTGCACACTGGATGCCCGGATGGTGGCCAGGCGGGCCAGCCGATCGCTGTTGCACCGCCCGGCCACCCCGGGTTGGGTCGCACATGGGATGCCCGCCGCCCTGGGTTGCAGATAGCAGGCCCGGATGGCGGCAGGGCAGGCGGGATGGCGCTATTCCAACCTGCCTGCAGTATGCAAATTAGCCACCATCTTTGTTGGCGGTTAATTTGCATATTGCGCTGATTAGCCAATGGGAGGCATAGTGAAGGTATGGTAAATTACCATGTTTGTCTATTATTAGATAGGATGGCAGAGTACATGGAGTGAAGCAAGACCTAACTGGGATAAAACAGCATTAGAAATTGTGCATCTGTGTATACTCACCATTTATCTTTTATTTTTCATTATGTTACACTTGACGGTGTCTGGGTTACAAGTGCTTTGAAGACTAGGGTGAAAGACGATAAATAAAACATTTACACTTTAGGCTGTAGAATATATTGGTTAATTGCCAGGCTACTGTGTTTTAGATCTTGTGTGATTTAGGGGATGATTAGAAGCAGCTTCTCTTTGGGAAATAAGTCAGGCTTTACTGTTGTGAACCACAGGCCTTTAAACCCAAACTTTCAACCTTACATCATTTTGGAGAGAATATCTGTCAGTAGATTTTTCCCTTATAATTTCAGAGGCAAAAATTAATGCTTACTTGCAGGGTTATCCGGAGGTTTGTAATGCTGTACACTATTAGCAATTCACAGTCTTTGCAGAGGTGCCAATGGCTTTAACCACTTCTGTGGACTTTACCAGTCGTTCAGCCATTAAATGTGTCAGTGGCAACACTATCCAGACTCAGACTTGAGTGTCCATCAGGATCACCTGAAGGGCTTAGTAAAACACAGTAAAACATGGGTCACTGGGTCACTGCTGGAGTTTCTGACTCGGGGGGTTGGCATAGATTCCAGAATTTGCTCTTCTAATGAGTTCCCAGGTGACGCTGATGCGGCTGACCGGGGGCCTCCACTTTGGCGGCCCTTGGTCCTGTGGAAATTTAAATTCAGCTTCAGTCTGGGTTGACTGGGGGATTCTGTTGAATGACAGTCATTTATTTACCTCGTTCTGACTTCAGTTTTCCTCCGCTGGGGTTTGGGCAGGAGGGAGAAGGAGGAAGGGTTTATTCCGCTGACGGGCTCCTCCAGGTGAAGGCCAGGTGTGCTGATGGAGTGTCACCTCGCCGCTCCCCCAACCCCCAACCCCCTGAGCCAGGAAGCAGCAGTGTTTGCTCCTCACCCAAGTCTCTGCTGCAGCCTGGAGACTGAGCAGTCCAGGCCGCTGGGGGTGTGAGGATGTGACATGCACGCCCAGAGCCTCTCATTGGCCAGTGGTGAACCGGGCATGGCCACTGGGAGGGAGTCAGGAGACCCAGCTTCTCCCTCTGTGGACATCATACTCCTTGGGTGACCTTGGACAGCTTGCTAGTCCTTGACTCCCCGACTTGACTACTTGTGTGGAAACATACCTCCCCCTCCCAGCCTATGAAACAGCAGAAAAACAAAAACCCCACCTGGGGAGGGGCCTCTGAAGCATTAACCAGTGCCGTGCGGAACTTGGGTGCCTGGGGAGAAAGCTGCTGTGTAAACACAATATATTATTAATAAAACGTCAAAAAATAGCATCACGCCCTCTGCTAATAATAGCTGCTTCAGGCTGCGGAGCTGCCCGCACTCCGGCTCCCAGCCGTGGGGAGGGAGGGTGGCTGTGGGTTTTGAATTTGCACCACATTTAAAAGAAGATGAAAATAGGTTTTAAAAACATTTCTTGGCATATTCATGGGTATATTCATGAGGAAACTATAATAGCAGTTTTGTGTAATTCAACGTTAATAAACCAAATCATCATTTTCTTTTGATATTCATTGCACTTCAGAGTTGTTTGACAATGTGGGCTGTTCCAGAGGCATATCGGCTGACTTAAGAGTGTCCCCCCCACCCCCGTCAGCGTTGGTAAGCCGTAAGTGGGGGGAGCTGTACAAACCACTAGTGATGACTTCATCAGCGAACGGTTCCCTCAGCTCTATGGATGCACATGGCACTGCTACGTGCTGCTGTAGACACCGATCTAAAGACAGCGTTCTCGCCCTTAAGGGATTTGTAATGTAGTTTTGATTAAAAATATATAAGCAAAATATTACATAAGGAGGCCATTGTACTCTTAATACTTGTCTCCTTCAGTCATGTAAACAAAATCCCAAGCTGCTTTGCATGTTATGGAGCTGCCTGAGTGACCCGGAGGGAGAGATTCCTGTGGCATCGCTGGGCCCTGTCGGCAGGAAGCTCAGACCTTTGTTCCTCTCCCCCCACTTCCCCACCCCAGGGGTGTGCGATGGATGCTTCTTAGGGGTGTTGTGACAGACTGTAGAAGGTCTAGCACCCCAATGGTGGCTGCCCTCCCCCGTCCTGGGGAGAAAGCTGCTCTGCATACAGAGACACTGCAGGTCTCCAGGGGCCATTAGGGCCTGTCCTTCCTCACCAGCAGGCATGGCTGCTCCCTCCCTGCCTTCTGCCCAGAGCGTTGTGGCTTTTTCACCCACATGGAAGCCCCCTAAGGACAGGGCCTCACCTGGCTCCCAGCAGGGACCCTCGGCCCCGATGGAGAGGGGACTTGCCTGGGGAGCTTTTAAACAAATCTCACCCCCTCCCTCCCCGAGATTCTGATAAAATTAGGGAGGGGAGAGGGGGGTGGACGCGGGTGTGGTCTCTGGGCAACTGTCAGGAAAAGCCCTTGGTGAGTGCAGGGTGCCCTCGGGGTTGAGAAGCACTGAGTTGGTGGTTGGATTTATCGGAGAGGGTGGATCAAAGTCTCTTCTAGTCACTCGGGAGTTTTTTGAATGGAGTGAAAAATCCCACATCACAAACCTTATCCTGGAAGCTTATGCTGACTATAGGCACCTTTCCTGTAATGGGACCTCTCAGGGTCCCCTTTGTTTGCAGGTAGAAATGGTCACCTTGGGTGTTGGGTACAGCTGGCCCATAGCCGTCTTCCCCAGGGGCACAGCTGGGACTCAGGGGCCAGTGCCTGGAGGGCAGTGATCCACCACCCCCTGGGGATCCCTGGCCTTGCCCCAGTATCTCATCACTAAAGGGTCTCCGGCAGGCACACCTCATCCCTGTACTGCTCCCCTCTCGGCTGCGGCCCCCTTCGCCGCTCCTTCTGGGGATATAAGGCACCCATGGCGGATCTCCATTTGGTTTATAGGGCCAGCCTGTCCAAGACCCCCACTCAGCCCATTCATTACCTTTTCTACATCTCGGTGCTCTTTTGTGGTTCGCCCCGGCCAGCAATGATGCCTTCTTTCTATCTGTGTTGTTGGAAGAATGAAACCTACAGCTGGCGTGTGGATGAGAAGCCTGCCGAGTAGACTCTGAGCAGCGTGCTGACCTGCTTGTTTCTGATGTCTAGGCTTAGGGAACATATTTATTAGAACTCTATTTGTTAGAATTCTAAATAGGTGCCACTTCAATGTTATGCGGGAAACTTCGGGCCATTTCTCAGTCCAGAGAAGGAAATCCAAGATGGATAATGAGAGATGGTTTTATTTACTGGTGAAGGAAGAAGGCTGAGGAGGCTGCCAGATGGGAGGCATCAGGGTGGGACAGGAATGATCTAGAGTTAACCTTGGTCATTCTCGAATTTTTTAATCTCTCCTCTGTCTCTTCATTTTCATTTGGCATTTTGACCCTTGTTACTATCATTTCCTCATACTTACTTCCATATTCTATCTTTCTTTCTCCTGTGAGTTGTTGTGTCTGGGAGCCAGAGACAGCTCCTAGGTCCTGAGCCCCATAGACTTCCCTGCTGCTCCCACACCCCACCCTTGGCCTCATCCCTAACTTCCTCACCTGTGCTGGGTGTCTTAGCGGACCTCATCCTAACTTATTTCCCCTCATTTCTTCCCCAAGAATTGCTCCATCTCACCATAAATACTCTGTAATTCAAAGGTGTCTTATCACCAGAGGGAGACACCTAGGGTGGGCTTTTGTTTTCCTATGTTTAATCCAGTATTCGTGGTTTACTTTTTTATGCTCTGTGCATTATCTGATTTCGTCTTCAGGTAGAAAATATTCCCATTTGGCAGGTGAGAAAATAGAGGTTTAAAGAAGTTAAGTAGCTTGATCAAGATCAAGCAAATGTTAAATGGTAGAGCTTGGGGTATCTCATGCTAGAGCCTCCACTCTTTGCTAATGAACTCTGCACCCTCTGGCCGGAGGAGGCATGAACTGGGTTGCCAAGAGGGTGTGGGGGGTGGGTGGTTTGGAACTCATGGCCTTGGAGATTCTTCCATGCCAGCATTCATGGGAAGCTGTGAGATGATGTAGGATGTCGGAGTCTCTTCCCCATGGGGTTGATTTTGGTGATAAAATTCTGAATCATTTTCTTAGAAATGATTCACTATCAATTCTGAGACAGTGGGTGGTTATAGTGGGAATATGGCAAATAACGGCTGGTCCCAGTGCCTCGGGTTGTGTCATTGTCCCTGTCATTGTGTAAATCGGCAGGTGGAGTCCTTCCAGTTACGTGTCTCAATGTTTTGTTTCTTTGCAGAGCCTGTGTCATCCTGGGGGTGATATTCCTTCTGTCATCCTTATGTATAGTGATCAAAGCCATCCATGACCTCTCCATTAAGCTGCTCCCAGAAGTGGTAAGGTCCTTCTTCTTTCTTCACACTCCCTCCTGTGTCCCCCTCTTCACAGGTTTACTGGGAAAGTTGGGCAGGTGGAGAGAGTATGCTCCACATGTTGGGAGTCCTGAGGAGCTCTTTGCAGAATGTGAATTACTTGGGGCAGAGAAGCACTGGGCAAGATGAAAAGACTTAAAATAGTTGAGCCTGTACTGGGTTCTGTGTCCCTCGCCTTAGATTTCTGACTATTTTTAAAATGAGATGTCTTTTATGTAAAGAGAAATGGGCTGACTTTATAGCAGAGTGAGCCAGTCTGTGTTGTTGATATCTATTATTCTCTGTCCATTTAACGACTGTTGTAATAAGAATTATCTTTTCCTTTGCAACTTGATGCATGAGCCTGTTTAGGTTTTCTGGCACAACTGGCATCGGAATGCAGAAATTGGAGACACAATTTCATACTGAAGTGTGTCTGACTGCTTTGTTCTCGGGGTGAGATGTGTCACCTGCACTCTGATTCTTTTTCCCCCCTCTCCTTATAAATGCTGAGAAAAGAAATATTTTTACGAAAGAAAAGAAATACTTTTACAGTATTTATATAAGGCAGTTGATTTATGAACCAGGAAATGGAGATGCTGCCATTGCCATGGTTCCCTATTCAGGGTAGGGCAAGAGCAGGTTTACACTTGTTGGTATGGACAATAATCCAATAATTAATAAATAATAATAACACAAGAATACACTCTGTGTTTCATGTCCTGACAACTGTAAACTTACTTTTGCCTCACCCTGGACAAGGTAGATAGTGATTTAAATGCAAAAGAAAGGTCTCTCAGGTGATTTGATTTGCGCTCAGCTAAATGAACCCTGCTAATATAAGGCCTAAATTATTAGCCCTTTAAGTTTACTTTTAGAAAAATATATGTTAATCCCTTCTGAGGCAATGTATCACGTGCGTGTGTGCGCATGTGTTTATGGGGAAGGTGAAAGCGAAGCAGAACATGGTACTGCATTTCACGGAGCTATTAAAGCAACTGCGTGAGGTTGTCCTGCCCCCACGCTGAGGCAGAGCCATGCCTTTAGAAACTCATCAGGATCTTACCCTTATTTATCATCACAGACGGAAACACTTGTTCTCTGATTTCTCAGTGACAGGAAGGGAAGATGGGTACCGGGGTAGGAATGTGTTTAGTGTTTTTTAGCAGAGCTAGCTCAGCAAGTATTACTGTTTATAATCGTCTGTGCTCTTCATCTCACTATCGTTGTCTTGCCCTGATCTTCCTGGTGGCCTAGGATCCTGGACTTTTTCATCTTTTCCCTCCAACAGACTTGTGATCCTGTGTTCTGTTCTGTCAGAATCAGACGCTTATGTGAAGTGTAGACGTGAAAGTATTAGTGTGATTAATTAAGACGTTCTAGACCCTGTAAAATATTTGCATTTTACAGGGTCTAGAAATCTGACTCCACTCAGTAATGCTTATTGGTGGGGAGCTCCAGCCCCCGGCTAGTTGACACACTTCTTTAGGCGTAAACATGTGTTTCCAGCAGGACAGCTTGGTATGCAATGGAGAGCTGTGCTCGCAGACCAACCCTTGCAGGGCCCTGCTTGCTTTTCCTCTTGATAGATGAACCATTTTTAACTGGGAACAGTCTCATATCTTATGGTGCAAATACTCCAACTTGAATTCCACGTTGAGGTCTAAATTCCCAGGCGGGGGTCAGAGAGGGTGAATAACTCTACAATTTTGCCCAAGCCTGGACCTGTCCTTGGGGAACTCAGCCCACTGCATCGTTATCAGTCTTAGCGTGGGACTTAAAAATTACACCCATTCATTGTTGCCCCTTAACAACTCTGAAGTGAGGGGTTTGTTTAATAGTTGGTGTGGTTTTTTTTAGTATATATTTTTATTGATTTCAGAGAGGAAGGGAGAGAGAAAGAGAGATAGAAACATCAATGATGAGAATCATTGAGCAGTTGCCTCCTGCACGCCCGCTACTGGGAATCAAGCCCGCAATCCGGGCATGTGCCTTTGACTGGAATCGAACCCAGGACCCTTCAGTCCACAGGCCAACGCTCTAGCCACTGAGCAAAACCAGCTAGGGCTGTTGTGTTGTTTTTTAAAAGCCATTGGAGTAATAGAAAGGTATCAAAGGCGCCTTCAAGCTGTGTGAGCTCCCTTCTCCAGAGGGGAGGCCTTCGTATCAGCTGAGTGGCACGTGAGGCCAGGTAAATGCTGCAGGCTTATAGCTGATGATAGTTCAGTATTGGTCTTTGGGTTCCCTGTGTCTGCTCTAGAAATTTTGTGGAAGCCAGCAGGCTATAGCCAGACCCCCAACCCCCAATCCCTGCCGACATTCAAAATGAGTGTTTTTACACAGTGCCTCATCCCAAATGAGGAGTCACAAACTCAGATGCCCCCCAGAGCCAGTCTCAAAAACTAGAGAATTGCCTAGGTCCGTGGCACCTAGAAAGCGTGCTCCCGGATTAAGGATCTGCCCTCTGGTGGAGATGCCCTGTGAGGTTGTGGGCCTGGGGTGGTCAAATCTTCCAAGTTTTTAAGAGAAAGTGGAAACCTTGTGTTTAATGTGAAATAAATTGGCAACTGATTTAAAAACTTGAAGTTCTGGCTGGGAGTGGGTGGACAATTTCACATGGGCCCAATAACGCATGGCTTTTGGCTGCTCATGGTGTGGTGGTTGAAAACAGGGAGACTGGTGGTTAGCGCCTACATATTATGACTTTAGGTCAGAGTTACAGCTTCGCTCTTCGCCCTTCCCTTCCCTTCCCTTCCCTTCCCTTCCCTTCCCTTCCCTTCCCTTCCCTTCCCTTCCCTTCCCTTCCCTTCCCTTCCCTTCCCTTCCCTTCTTTTCCCTTCCCTTCCCTACAGAATTGCTTTCTTTACATGTCATTTCTGTCAGGTTGTTACTGTGGGTTTGCCAGAAGCAGCATTTTTCCTACCTTAGGCCTGTTCCCCTGGCAACTTGCTTTCTTTTCTTTAAAAAAAAAAATACTATATTTTTATTGGTTTTAGAGCAAGAGGAAGGGAGAAGGAGAGAGACTTAGAAACATCGATAAGAGAGCAATGTTGATCAGCTGCCTCCTGCACGCCCTCTACTGGGGATTGAGCCCACAGTCCAGGCATTTGCTGGGCCAGTGTGGCTCAGTGGTTGGGTGTCGACCTCTGAACCAGGTGGTCATGCATGGTTCGATTCCCAGTCAGGGCACATGCCCGGGTTGTGGGCTCAATCCCCAGAGTGGGGTGTGCAGGAGGCAGCTGAACAATGATTCTCTCTCATCATTGATGTTTCTATTTCCCTCTCCCTCTCCCTTCCTCTCTGAAATCAATAAAAATATATTAAAAATATAATAAAATAATTGTCCTAAGATGACAGTGCTAACTCTAGTGGCTGCTGCCCTAAACATTCTGATTTTTTGTATTTCTAAATTTCTGATCAGAGTTACTCCCATTTATGGCCTGAGGTCATTTCAGATTGGGCCCCTTTTGAGGTAGGAGGTATTGAACAGAAGGAAATTCGGGGAATGGTGGGTGGGCAGGAAAGCAGTTCTGGGGCCGGGTGAGCAGTTTCACAGCCTGTCAGCCCAGGTCTCCGGGGCAAGTGCCTGGTCCACGCGGGTGCATTTCTGAGGTTCCCTCAGTACCTGGAGCGTTGCACCTGTGGGGTGAGGACACGGAGCTAAAGTTAGGGACACATCTCAACTCTGTGACTTCCTAACTGGAGAAACCTGGGCAGGTTGCTCCACCTTTTTCGGCCTCACTTTCTTTGTCCATAAAATGGAAATAACAGCACCTTTTTTTGTAGGATTGTTAAGCAAACAAAATAAGAAGATGTAAGTAACGTGCTTATTAGCACATAACTACTGGGTAAGTGTTGGCTGATATTACTGGACTAGAGAAGTTGGTGGACCTTTTGGTGCCTTTAGTTTTGGAAGCTTAGACTGGACTGAGCAGTCCAGGAAATGACCTCAGTGACACTGTACTCAGCTCAGAGTCAGTCGGTAATGCTGTAAGCTCCTCCTTGAGCAATAACCTCTAAATCCTGGATGCGCCATCAGCAACAGAGAGATTCGTCTTCCAGTATGACACGCTCTCAAGCATAACTCGAAGTTTAATTTGGGACCTGCGTTGACAAGTACTTTAAACACACACACACACACACACACAAAACAATCACACACAGTCAAGGTCCTCCACATCCCCCCAGCCAGCCTCTCCCAGCACCGTGCAACGAAAGGTGGAAACCCGGTCAGACTATCAGTGGTGTTCCACCCTTGTTACTGCAAACAGAATAATCCTAGTACTTAAGCAAGACTGACCTCTTTATTCATCTTTGAGACAAGGACCTACCGGCTTCCAAGTAGAAGAGAGCTGAGCACTGAGGGAAGTTGATTATTATTGGCTGAGAGCGTTCAAGGCAGAGAGAGCCCAGAAATAGGTCTGTACATATCTGGCCAACCGGTTTTCAACTAAGGTGCCAGGGCAGTTCAGTGGAGGAGAGTGAAATCTCTACAAGGAATGGCGCCGGAGCAGCCGGACCTGGATAGCCATATGGACAAGGTGGACATCCACCCTTATATCCGAATTAACTCAAAATGGGCCATAAAGCTCAATGGAAAACCTAAAACTCTAAAATTTCTAAAAGAAAAGAAAGGAGAAAGTCTTTGTAACCTTGGGTTAAGCAAAGGTTTGTTGAATCCAGTACCAAATGTATGAAGCATAAGATCAAAACATCAAGAATTGGACTTCATCAAAATGAAAAAGCTTTGTTCCTCCCAGACGCCATTATGAAAATAACAGGACAGCGTAGACAACACCCATGGAGCAGACAAAGGACTTGTATCCACAGTGTAGAAAGAACAGCTTAATAAGAAGACAAACAACCTAATAAGAAGATTGGCAAAAGATTAGTACAGACAGTTCACAAGACAAGAGATAAATGAATGGCCAGTAAGCACCCAAGAAAATGCTCAACATTATCCTCTGGGCATCACAAATTAAAAC